TATAAAACGGATTGCTTTTCCACTGGTTACCTACTACATTTATATTTAACGTATGTACAAAAACATGGTCGATGAAATTCATTATGACCTACAATTATCGAAATACAGCAAAAGAATGGACCTCTTAAGAAATGAATTTATTACGAGGTTAATTGAAAACTATTGCTATGTTAAATATTACAAATCAATAATTAAAAGCTCTAAAAAATATGCATAATTAACGACGTTACGACGCATCTGTCGTTAGGCAACCTTTCGTTCACCGCCGCGACGCTACTGGAAATTCAGCGCAGGTCTAAAGTACGCCAACGGTTTTTTGTACATTATAATGTTGAAATATATTTGTAAACCTTTCATGCAAAGTGGTTATGCAAAGAATATGAATGAAGGCTAATTATTTCCATATTGAGGTATGTACTTCCAAAATTGGGAATGTAAGTGAGATATGTGCGTGTGTGACAAGCATGGCCAATCAATATTCCACCTACTTACTTAATTTATTCCATTTTTAGATTTTGGTCCTCTACATGTTATCACTGATACCATGGCCGGGACCGACAATATTCAAAATATCATGCCCAAAAGATAACGCAAGAATAGTGAGAAAAATAATCCAAAATAAATGGATTCCCGTTTTAGAGAAATATAAAGTTAGTATTCCATTAGAATGTCCTTTTCATCCGTTTAGAGATATTTTTGGGCCACAAGAAGCGGCGAAACAACAGCACCGGCCGTCTCAGTGGACTTGCGGTTTATGTGGAAAATCTTTTTTTGAAGAAAAGTATTTGGATTTACATTTTGACAATCGCCATAAAAATTATATTAATATGGTAAGATTCTAAATTGAAACAATACTCTACTGAACTGAATACCTGTTACCGTTAGGCAGAAGATGCCGTGTGCCTTGCTGATTACTGCGATATAATTCGGTGCGATGTACTAAAAACACAAGATGAAAAAATTGTATATCCAGACACTGTAAATACGGACATTGAAATTTGGAGAGAGACTTCCACTTATAGAACCGAACTGATTTCTACAATCCCCAGAGAGGTAATGAAGTATAAGTCAAAATCTTTGCCTACAAAGAAATCGAACGGGCCGTCAAAACAAATAGATCATTGCCAGAAGTATGATAATCTTAAGGAGGCAAAGAAAAATAACGGTACCTGCACGGTTGTAAATGGTTTCGATTCTATACTCCAACTTTTAGAGGATGCCAATTCCAGTAGTGAGGACGATAAATCCCAAAATAATAGTTTTAATGGAGTATGCCAAAATGATCTAGTCGATTCTGCATTGCCGGCCTCTGACAAGCAACAACGTATTGCAGAATTACAAAAACTTAAAGCGAATTGTAAACCGGAGGAATTGCAGTTGCTAAAGACAAAATGTGAAATATTAGTGAGAGATTGTATTGCAGGGTTGTTAATACATTTGTCGATTAAGGATTTTAAGGAAATAGAAGGTAACAGATTTTTGCTTGCGTAACGCATTCATAATAATTGTAGAGGAGTTGAATCGTGCAGTGTGTTGGTATTTGACGTGTGATAGATATTGGGAGGACTCGCAGGGAGATTTCCGGCAATTTCCATGGGGTTTATTGTGCATGATAGTAATGGTACTATCTTTGGGGATCTGCATATGTTACTACATCATATGGGTTTTATTTGAGTAAGTGTTTTTTTTATTCATGTACCATTATGTAACATGTTCAAACAACGAGATTAGCACGGATGATGTCAGCGTTACAAGTGCGAGTATGACGGACAGATCAACTCCTTCACCGGCGCATGCATTGAGACATGATGCATCACAAAGTAGTGATGGGCACCAGCAATATAACGAAGATTATTATGGAACTTCTGATAAGGACAATGAATATATTTATGTTACCTACCCACCAGATCTGAAGCGAAGGTTGCTCGAAAGGTATATCCATAGACATCACAAAAAAACCTACTTATTGTTATACATTATTTTTGTGCGGTACCTAAACTCCCTACCCTCAGAACAACATTCTTTTTTTTTGCACTATTTACATTATGCAAGGACTAACTCTATTCCCCATGATACACTTAACAAATGGTACTGGCAGTCAGTGATCAGCATTTACTTATGTAAACAGAAATGCATGTCAAATCTGCCAGAAATCTACACCTTTTACATATAGCATTAACATCCTTAGAAAGTGTTAACTATGGTAACAGCGGTTTGTTGTTAATTTTAACAAAATTTAATTCTTGTGAGAATATTCTATGGCCAAATGTGAATTTCAGTTCTTTTAAGTTTACCTACCGTCTTATCTTGTTTAGTGCTGCTAAATATGTTCTCCCATATCCTAGTTACAATAAATTTAGACCGATTAGCTATATTAACCTAGCAGAAGCCCTGAAGCAAAAGAAACAGCAGTGCAAATTAGTAATAATTAATTGGGTTCTTCCCCACTTGCTGTTTCTTTTATCTTCAATGCCAGATTTTATGTAGATAAAAAAATTGTCTATTAGAATGAAATTAGGTCATTTAAACTATACCATGGTCTTCAATAGATAACAAGAGATTTCCATTGTAGTTGCTACAATCGTACCACACGCTTGTAACCGCTAGTTCTACAGAATGACTGGCCATGTAGATAATCCAGCAGCACCTCCAAGAATCCAATATAGAGTAGCGTCATGCTGTAGCCAGTGCTAATTACTACGCGATCAAAAATGAGTTGCTGTCGAGTCACCTTTGAAATTTTTGTTTAAATGGGAAATCGTACTTAACTTGAACTACCAAAGGCGACTTGACAGCAACTTATTTTTGATCGCCCGTTATTATTCAATCTCTTTTATACACTAGTGATTTACAGTTAGATTTTTTGCTTTTTACATCTACCTAACTACCTATACTTTCGAAACGCTGCATGTTCTTTAGTAATTTCAAATAGTGTTTTAATACCTACGTATTTCAAATCTGGTGTATTTTTCAAGAACAGTTGATATTTCTACAGTTTTTTATATTAATAAAATGAATTATAGGATCTATATTGCGTTAATAAAATTGCTTACTAAATTCTTGATCAATTGTTTCATATTTTCCTGTAGTACCACCAATAGGCCGCCTTAACTAAGAACTACGTACCTATCTAAGTTGTTTTTAGCGTAACACAACGAAGTAGAGGTAACGCTTATGTGCTCGATTTTTTCTCATCTGTCTGTCTGTTTCATCGAGGTCTGGGTCTGGGCCCCTGTGCCACCTAGGGATTTCATTTACAGTTGCATTACGCGGCAACACCCACGAGTGGGTTTTGCGTGGGTTTTGAAACATTTTTTGTTCTGTTTTCTGGGCGAAGAACAGTATCCATCATCAAATAGGACTCAGTAATTTTTTATTTAATTTTTTATTCAATGACCCAGTTTTGCTTAACATTAATAAACTGTAGTTGCATTAGTTAATATTTATTTACTTGATAAAAGGAATCGCTACCGTTTACAATCATAATAATCAAATATAGTGAGATATAATATCCTCTAAAAAAATAAGAAGAAAATCAAGGAAAAAGAAATCAAAAATAAAAGCCTGGCCAAGTTGAAAAAAAAATTGTTTGAATTCAAACATTAGGCACAACAATAAAAGAATAAAGAACTGTATACATGATTACAAATATAAACTTGGTGACATCAATCAATCATATTAAATATTTAATTTCTATCTTTTTGATTATAAAGAAATACTTTTTTTAATAGAAGTTTGCATAAGAAAACGAGCTAGATATTTAAAGTTGTGGGTGGTTTTGTTTTTGAAAAATCGCGATAGGTGGTGACATACGTCTAGGCCACACACCTCACATCAGAAAGAATAGCAAAACGGGAAAAGATACGAAACACTGTATATTAGCAATAGTTCTCTCAAAAAATGCAACTTTTGTCCTTACGTGAACAACAAAAAAAAGAATTTGTTATTCCGAGCGTGCCAAATTTTCAATGCCTTACCGAGCAATATTAAAGAAATTACTTCCTTTTCGAAATTTAGAATAACGCTCAAAAACTTTTTGATGGAGCAGTCATATTACCACTTGAACGAATATCTCGAAAGATGATTTTATTGTTTTATTGTTCATTGTATGCTTTACCTTAACATTATAATTTATGTAAAATATTTATATTTATATTTTACACATGACACATTGTTACGTACGTTCTGTTCTTATACAAGTATATGGAATGTATTTTGTGACAAATAATAAATATGATATGATATGATATGATATGATGATATGAAAAGGCTGTATCGTCTAAGAGTAAAAAAGTTAGTATGGGGACACCTATGAGTAAAAAATAAATACTCGTAGTCGGCTTTAGATAAGTAGAAATCACCACCGACTTATCTATGGGAAGCAAAGGTTCGAACTCGTTTTGATACTACTGTTCTATTTTCCAATGGAGTGATAAGATACATATAGAAGTAGGCACAAAAGAAAGATTAAACGACACTACTTATGTAGTATTATACTATTATTAGTATAATCGAATAAAATGAAAGAATGCAATCGTACAGAACAGCATTTTCATTTATATCAGCCATTGACATTTGAACACCAAACAGTTTTTAAAATTACCAAAACAAGGCTTGTAAGCTCTTTCACAAACACCTACCAGAAGGATCTTTTGGGACTCCAAAAGATTCTTGCAGATTATCTGCTCACTCTTTAAGATCCTTGAAAACTTTTAAAAGTGCTCACAGTCTCACAAAGGCTCGTCTGTTAAAGAGGGGTAAGAATCTCAAGAATCTAAAATCGTTATTAAAGGCTCTTAAAGACGTTTATAGAAACTTTTAAAAATTTGAGAATCTTAAAAGAGCCTTTAGAAGACAGATTTTTATAAGGGCTTTTAAACCCCTATACACTGTTGGGAAATCTGAAAGGCTTAAATGCAATATGTGATATCCTTATAATTTGAAACAGGAATTTTCAGCATTATGAAATAGATTTGCCTAAAGGAAGAAAAACACATATGTATGGAAGATCAGAATTGCTTTAATGAGAGAATATTGTCTGAAATATCAAAAATGAAATGTATGAAAATAAAAAATACCTTGGCGATATGAAACATAGCGTATAGTACCTACTACAATACAAATATGTACAAAAAATGCCTAAACGATTATGTGGAAAGAGCTTCATCCTTTTTTATATTTTCCGCCTTATCCCACAACTTAATGGTGTTTACACACGCAGTTAACACGACATCCTTCTTTGGATGAACACATAATGAGTTTAGTACTTTTCCCGATGTATGTAATAACTTTCGTTCAATATTCCCACTTACAAGATTCCAGCAAAACAATTCCCCAGTGGCGGATCCAGACAAAACATGATTGTCAGTATAGCTAATGGCGCTTTGAATGGTCATTTCGTTAGTACGATGTCCAACATATCTAAAGAAAGACACCAAATTAGGCAGATTCCACAAACTAGAAAACTAGTACATACTCTCCGAGTAGTTCTCCAGTGTTTTTGTCTAGTAATCGTATTGTATTATCCGATGAACTGGCTAGTATACATTGGCCATCACGTGAGAAACTTACAGATGTAATTGGTGCTAAAAATGATCTGTGTAGACATTATGCTTCAATACAAATCAGTAATACCTCCTACAAAGTCAACGTGACATGCACCATTTCGTAAATCATACCGTCTGATAGAGCAGTCAACAGATCCAGTCAAAATTTCGGTATCAGAAACGCAAATGGACGTTATGCAATCCTTGGCCTCGTTTAAAACCTGAATCGGTTCGTTTCGTCGGGAATTCACATCCCAACACATAACCGCATTATCTAAACCTCCGGAGATCGCAACGCTGGACTCTTCGTTGAAGGTAACACAGTTTACTGTGCTGGCATGCCCGCGTAACCTACGAAGAGGTTGTCCGGTTGATACATCCCATAAAATGACTGATTTGTCCGATGAGCAGGACACGATTCGACTGCTGTCGCAGGATGAGGCACAATCGAGTACTTCGTTTCCATGCCCGTAGTAGGTCTTCAATACTAAGTTTCGGTATGGATTCCACAGTTTTATTTTTCTGTCTGAACCACAAGTCATACAATAGGAACCATCGACTGTAAAGTGGTAACATAAAAATTGACTTAACCTCAAATACTTACCATTAAATCGAACAGATCTAATAGCACCCTGATTGCAATCTATTGTTAACATGCACTGCAGATTCCACTTCTCATTCGTCATTTTATTTTACCTTTAATTACTAGGGAAAATTTAGGTTAGCTTTAGGATAAGGAGAGCAAAGGACTCACAACTGTACATTTATTGAATAAAAACATGTAACTAAGAACTGCCTAATTGTTTAATTCGTTCATCTAAATTATGCATTAAGGTATTTTGGTGTATGTTTAAATTCTGTACTAATTGCCCTCCTAAACTATCCAGTGTTCGTACCAGGTCAGCTTGTGCAGTCTGAATGTTTGGTATCGCGCTGTAACTTACAAGTTCATCTTTGCTTAAAAACTTCCCCTCGTAGATTCCAGCTGAAATGTGCCATTTAATAACACTTTACTCAAAAAAGAGTGTTACCCATCAGTATAATTTCTGGAAATTTCTTCGATATCTTCAGCAACTTTTTAATTTCAGGTTCTGGACTGAAAACTATGAAGTTGCGTGACACGTACAATGATAAAGCTGCTTCATATGCCGTTCCCTTTACTGCCAATTCCATTGTACGCCGCCCAAAATTTTGAAAATGCATTTTCTCTTTCTTAAATGACGCAAAAGCTTTGAACTTTTGGTCACTGCTCATCGGATTCATGTGGTAAAACGCTACTAATCGCGAGCTTTGGAACCATCTAAACACTTCGCCTGCAATTATTTCCTGATATGGATTCTCGCCATCCTTCGCGTAAATATTGCCCTTATTGCAAAACTCTATCGGAGTTTTTACTTTTCGTGGAAACATCGGCTTGGTAAGTTCTAAAAAGGTAGCCTTCACATGATGTGGGAGTTGAGGTTTTTGAATGTTTATTTTGGAACGAAAGCGAACTGACTGAAGTAGTGGTGATGGTGGTGAAAGGTGGAACACTAAAATAGTCAAAGTTAATAAAGTGCTAATTACACACACTGACACACTTCTTACATTGCTTTATTAATAGCATTGTGGGTTTTAAAAATTAAAAGTATAAATTCTTAAATTATTACATTAATGTGTGGTTATGTTATTTGAATTTGCAGTTTCTGTGATCTCTCAGAGATGGCGTTCTGTTTATTCAGTGTTGCACAATTTCAGTAGAACTGAAGAAAGGGAACACATCAATTTCTAGACGGTTGCTTCTGAAAAGAAAGCGCGAGTTTTATATTTGTAGGTACCTTTTTGTGTGTGCTTTTTTTAATATAGATTACCCATATTTATATAAAAATTGTAAGACGTCTGTATTTTATTCAATTTCACTTGACATTTCGTGTTCGACACCTGAATAAACATCCATTTCGTACACGCCCTGTATACCACTTGTGACAGCGTCTCTTGTATCTACTAGATTGTGTACATTAAGCATTAACCCTACTTTTTAAATCAGTAATCACTAAAATGAACGAAGGTTTGTTTTGATTCAACTGATCTTATTCACATTGTCGAAATTCTAGATTTAGGTGCGGAAATAAAAAAATATGATCTTGAAATTCAATCTATCGAATCGGAAATAGCAAAACTGCGACAGAAACTGAACAAATTAAAAACCAAAAAGAATGAACTCGAAAAACAACACAATTTAGTCAAGAGTTTTGATAAAACTGCGGAAGACTTGTATAAAGGAACTGACTTTCCTTGGTCTGCAAACCTAACTGCACTACTTCGGGAAAAATTTAAACTAGAAGAGTTTAGACCTACACAATTAGTGGCCTTAAATGCGACATTATCAAAGAAGGATTTACTTTTGCTTATGCCAACAGGCGGTGGTAAAAGTCTGTGTTATCAACTCCCTGCTTTAGTTGGAAAAGGAACTACTTTAGTCGTTTCTCCTTTGTTATCATTAATTGAAGATCAACAGATAGCTTTAAGAAAATTAGGTATTGTGAGTAAATCGATTAACTCGAGTACACCTAAGGAAATTAAAAAGGAAATTAATGATTACTTATCGAAGGGTACTAAGCCGGTTATTAAATTGTTGTATGTTACACCTGAGTGGTTAAGCAAAAGTAAACTATTTAAATCCTATCTACAGAAATGCTACGCAATGGGAAACTTGGAACGTATAGCCATTGGTGAGTTGTCTCTAACTCCCTACAGAATGTCATCATTTTAATTTAAGATGAGGTGCACTGTTGTTCGCAGTGGGGTCATGATTTTCGTCCAGATTACCAGTTTCTTAGTTTATTAAAGGATATGTTCCCCAATGTTCCCATCATTGGGCTAACTGCAACTGCCACCCTTTCGGTTCTGTTTGATGTACAGAATATGTTGAATATCAAAGGATGCTTAATTTTCAGGTCATCTTTTAATAGGCCAAATTTATTTTACAAGGTTAATATTCCAGATTGCTACAAATGCTATATCCGAATGCCCTTCTGATTTCATAACTCACCTGGTATTCACATTCAAGGGGGAACCACTTGAAGGTGCATTGTACATAGGCATTAGACAATACTCTTAAGATCTTTATGGATAGTAGATATGAATACTATAATTCATATCCTATAGGAATTTACAAAAGAATAACAATGAGAATGAGTTTCTCAAACTGTGACAATACGTTTATGCACGATACTTTCAATGCTTCCAATTAATGTACAGTGATATTTATTAAGAAGTAGAGGGATTTATGTGTACTCTTTCAATCTCTTCAAAATTACTTCTTAAAAAAAAAATATAGATGTGGTCATATGTGTATGTGGTCAAACTTCTTGGTTTCGTTATCAGGAATACACTCAACTTCACGAATATACAGACAATGCTAACCTTATATAATGCGTTTATTAGATCCAAGCTTGAGTATGCTGCATGTATCTGGTCTCCTCAAACTCTCAAAATACTCAGACATGATCGAAAAAGTGCAGAAAAAGTTCATCCGAGTAATGTTTTTTAGGTCAACCCAAAATTATCCACATTTGATCTCTTACGGTACCCAGCTTAATTACTTAAATAGTACTTTCGGCTTAGATATAACGAGGTTAGAAACCCGACGGTACATTGCCTCCACAATTTTTGTCTTCAAAATTTTACACAACTTGTTATACTCTTCCGAATTACTTCAAGAAATTTAAGCTTAAGGTACCATTTGTTAAGCTAAGGCAAAATAATACTATTTTTGTAGTTAACAACACAACTTCCCCACTTATTAAGATCTTGATCACTTTAAATAAGTTATCCTCAGTTAATGATATCGACTTTTTTCACGATCCCCTAAATTCAATAATAAATAAAATTAGATCTTAAGTCCTAATATTTGTTCAGACCCCCAGTGCCATGTGCCATGTAATTCATGACATTTTCAATTGGTATAGTGCCTTAAGGCTGTTCCAAAATTTGTAAACTTTTGAGGGTATGTAACATACTTTACCATGATTTAATTTATGCTGTACATGACCTGTATAAGTGGTTTCCCTCGATATATACATTCGATTAGGCATTATATAAATCATTTTCTTTTTAAGGTAATACCTAAGCCTCAACAAACTGAACAGTGTTTAGAGTATCTTGAAGGTATACTAAAAAATAAGTTCAAAAACAAGTCCGGAATCATATATGCCTTAAGTATAAAAGACACAGAGGATTTAGCGCAAGCACTACGGGGTCGTGGTCTAAAGGTACGCCCGTACCACGCGAATCTCGAGCCAGAGTTACGACGCAAAGTACACGAGAAGTGGCTAAACGACGAGTACCAAGTAGTTGTGGCTACAGTCGCATTCGGAATGGGCATCGGTAATTGAGTTAAAGTAACTATTCAATCATTTGATTCCTTTAGATAAACCGGACGTACGTTTTGTGATCCATCACTCGATTCCAAAAAGTATGGAAAGTTTGTATCAAGAAAGTGGTCGAGCTGGAAGGGATGGGAAGGCGGCAAAATGTATTGTGATGTATCGCTTTAGTGATTATTTTCGTGGTAGCGCTATCGTCAATTCTAAAACCGAGGAAACCAAGCTTCGCTCTGTTCTAGAATATTGTTTAGATTCCTCGACGTAATGTATATTTACAGACTGAGGCGTTTTTGTTAAAATATTTTTTAGATGTCGGCGTAAATTGCTAGCAACACATTTTGATGAAAAATGGAATAGTAACGAATGTAATAGAAATTGCGACAATTGTAAAACTTCAACTTCGGTTGTGTGGTACAACATTACACCCGTTTGTAAATATGTGTACGCAATCATTGAGAAAGCAGAGAAAAACGAAGTTCATCTTACACTGTTAAAACTCCTTGACATCTGGTTTAAAGGAGGGGATAAGAATTTAAGAGTTGAGGATGTTCCGATGCCAAAGGTTGAGAGACATCAAGCTGAAGTAATAGTCGCTTATTTACTGATGAAAGGTTATTTAGTAGACTATAAAAGTTATACTGCTTATGCGACTAATTGTTATATTCAAAAAGCACCGGGGTGTTCTCTTGCTCCAGGTACAGTAATTGAAATCCCCATTTCAGCCAGCGTCACCTATCGCGGCCTTTTGAAAAGAAGTGCAGATGCTGAAGGGGAGCCCGATTCTAAAATCATAAGACTGGATTAAGTTATGTTCTAACTAAACAATTTTTGTGATCTAGTTTTTAACATGTAACTAGTTAATAAACACTACTTTTAGAGTACATCTTGATTCCCCTATACCTTTTTAAACTAAAGTAAATTTATTAAATTTTAATATAAAATATAACACATCCAGCCACTTTGTATGTAGTAGTGCATAGGAAGAAAATAAATTGCTGGAACCGTTAGTTGAAGAAATTCGCCTAAATCTTCAAATAAAACTGGAAAACTATAGTTACATTAGGCAACACATCATGCAGGCCTCTTCGTACTCCTCTGAGCACCTAACTTGCTAGCCGATCGTGGCTAATTAATTATTTCTAATTGGAGATGAAGGGCTGATTCTCAATAACGTACCTACATGAGTGACATCCCTAACAAATTTTTATTGCAAATATGGCAATTACGGATTCTACTAACGCGAAATTTAAACTTTAAATGTATATTTTACTTTTTCAATGTATTAAGGGTAGCCTACCGTGACATTGCTTTAGTGACGTCACAACTGGAGATGGGCCACTGCAACGCGATACCAAGACCAAGTAATCAACATCAATAAACATAAATTAAGCAAGCATTACACCAAAAATGTAAACAATTACAAACAATAGCATAACGGTATCACACATATGATTGCATTGCGGTTAAACCAAGTAAATTTCAAAAACAAATATTCAAACACACAAAAATATAAAATGCGGCAAACAAAACACAAATACGATATAAAGAAATGCAAAAATTACTACCTGCATTAAATAACACAAAATAACAACAAACATTTATGGAGCGAAACGTTCACGACCGCCATTCAAGACAAGATGCCAAAAGTAACTCCCGTTCGTGCTTTCTAGGTGGCGCAAGCAGCTTTTTCCCACCTAGAAATTGTATGGTTGCCAACTCTCAAAAATGTATGTATCGTCGTAAGTTGTATATACAGGGTGGAACCTTTCAGTACTTATCTAAAAAGCGCAAACGGTTTGCAAACAATTCGATCTGGCAAACGCACCCTATCGTTCACCAGCACCTAAACAGTTTGTGTTTGCAAACGTAATCAAAGCGCAAACACGTTTGGTTCTGGTGAACGCACCCATTGATAAAAAGCAGCCAAACTAGGTAATGAATTGATACCACCGAAATCCAAAAAAACTATATGAGCAGCAGTACGATGCGTTTAATAAGTAGTGCCGCATACAAAATGTGAAACAACCTACTGAAATTGCCTTGCTAGTAATTTCATCCTTCCAGGATTTTCGTCCAAATTTAATCCCGGCGGGACAAAAAGTGACACTTCAGTACTTGTCATAATGGAGTGAAGTTGTCACTGAGCCGAATTCAGAGTTCTTCCTAATTTCAAACTCACACTCAACTAGTTAGTCACTCATTTCTAACTCAAGTTAGTGCGAATCCTACTCATTCTCACTTTTGGTATTCAGAGAACATCTGTAATGAGTGACTAATTTGAGTGGGGTTTTAGTATGGAATCTGTCAAAAATATTGTTAGGGGAACGATTGGTAGTGGAAATTTTACCAAGTAACTAACAAACCGCT